AAGAAAAAAAAAGCATGGATTTCACAGACTTTTTCGCATCACAATAAGCTTAACTTTTAAGTGCTCTTTCCATCAACTTTTTGCAATACACTTATAATAGCTTTCTGAATGAATATTGAGAGAGAATGAGCCAGATTTGCTCCTTTTAGGGGCAAAAATAGCCCCAGGGAGCCACAGTTTGAATATGAGTGCCTTGCAGACCCCTTAGAATCATTTGACAGTGACCATTTGGAAAATTGTAATATTATAAAAATTATTATATTTCATCCAGAAACCTGTTTTATCCTGCTGTTGCTTTGTTTTTTTTTTTTTTTTTTTTTTATAGTTTTTGGTTCTTTATTTTTCTATCTTTTTTTTGGTTTAACAGAAAGAGTAGCTAACTAGGTCTTTCCAGGTTGGGTGGACAGAGAGGAATACAGATATTTCTTCAGATATATCCAGATTTCCGTAGTGAAATACGCTTTGGTAAATCACCTTCCAAATATACCAACATAGATAAAATTGGTAGGGAGGGGATCATATTTGGCCAAGTAACTGCTTTACATCAATTACAAACACAGACCCAGACACTGAGTGAAATGTAGTTATAAGATTAGTGGCGTGGATTATTGGCTGGGATGAGTGACATCCCTAAATGCTCACATTACACTGCCAATAACACTTTTGATGAAGCAAAAAATGTTGCAAAAGTCAACAATGTTTGTTTGAAAATTATTTTGATGAACCTGTGAACTTTAAAAAAATACTTATTTTTTAAACTAAGCTAGAATCGACAAAATTGTATATTTCTGTATGGTGTACAACATAATGCTTTGATAATTCTGAGCTTTTTAAGAGAGGTTTGGGATAGCTCTACCAATGTTGTGATGCAATATCATGGTTTTAGGTAAGAGCCAAGGATACAGTAAGCATATGAAACCCAAAGTATATGAATGTATTCTGCCATACATCCATTAATTTCTTCAGAATGTCTTTGGCCATGTCTATGATACAGGTTTTGAAAAATATTTAGAAAGTTAACACAGCTCTGCAGATTAGCTCCAATGCAGGCAAATCTGCAGTAGGACACATGTTTTTAAGGAGCTAAAAATCCAGGTGGGAGGTGAAATGAGTGGTCTTCTTGCTCATTTTTTACATTGATATTTACTCAACTTCTTTTGGGTAGCTGATTTATTTTCTACCTGTAAATTGTGAGCAGATGCTCATCTGAATGCCTGACAAATCTTGAGAATTAAAGTTGCTTTTTCAAATTCTAGTTGACAGTGACAGTGGAAAGTGATCAAGGCCAGAGGGTTTTTTGGTTTTGTTTTTTTTTTTTTTTTTTGGTAACATTTGGACAGCAAAAGAGATGCAGTCGATAGTGGCCAAGCATGAACCCATAATGATGTCACTGAGAATGCTTAAATTAAATCTTCTTTATTTGGAGTAAGTTACAAATAGAAGTTCTTCAGCAAATTGGGATATCACAATAAAAACAAGACACAGGAAACTTACCCAAAAAGTGAAGAAAAATTTTTTGTAAAATTTGTAAGAGGAAAAAAGTTTTCACTGAGATGGGATACAGTTTCATAGTAATTTTTTAAAAAGTCATTATTTTGTTAATTTTATGTGGCATGTTGCAAAACATTTTAAGGCATAATTTTATATATCTTCTTATAGAAATTTTGAAAAACAATTATGTCATGAAGACAAACTTTTGTTTTTTATCAATATCAAAAGTTTTAAAACATTATTATCATTTACTTTAAAAGTAGCAAAAGAAAATGCTAGTGCACTCGAGTTCATTTTAATGAGACCATTTTAATACAGATAAAAAGTTGTATGAAATAAAGCAAAATAAGCTTTTTTTAAAGCTTTATTTATCGTGATCAAGATTTTAGAGATTAGCATTATATCAGAATTCTTTATTAAAAATCCCAAGAGAAGAATATCATCTAGGATATCTGAAAATATATTTTAGAAATAACCACAATTTAATTGGAAAGCTTTCATTGATACTGAAAATTACTTTAAGAGATCCAAATACAGATTTTTAATACTCTGAAATGTTTGAAAGTTAATTAAACATTGCGTGCTAACATTTAACATCACCATTTAAAAAAATGTTCTTAATAGTGGACCAATAAAGCATTCAAATGCCATTTTAGCTTTCATCTGAGGCTTCTATTTAATAAAGCAGCACTATATATTTTTGTCAAATAGTGCTACTTTTATTTTAACTCAGAAAAAAATTTTTTTCCTTAAACGAAGTTCATTGTAATGAAGTAAACTTTTTTTTAAAATCAAGGAATAATACCTAAACATTCAGAAGATAGCAAATTCAGGAGATAATAGGGCTTCTTCCTAATAGTTCTCTTCATGTTGATGTAGTTTAGTATGATCACTATAAAACCAATTATTATGATCTCAGGATGTCTGAATGAAAAAAACTGTGGTGCCCGGGTGCTGCCTAAACATTGGAGGTTTGCAAATATCAGGTAGATAAAGCTGAGTCCTTTGCCCTTTTAGCATCTTCTAAAGCCAAGCTTCCCTCCTTATTTTTCAAAGCTGTGAGATTTATTAATTAAGCGACGCAACTATTTAGCTATGAATTTGAAGGTTCTAAAACTATATTGAACTTTTCTTTGAATTCATTCTTTCACTATAGCTTCAATTTTTTGTAATAATCCCCCATTTACTCCATAAGATATATAGCATTTTTTTCTGTATTATTGTAAATATTTAGTTAGCTAGGGATATGAACTAAGTCTTGAGTTACATTTTGTATCACAACTATAATCAGCTGCAGCTATTCCATTTAAGTCTTAGAGTTTGCAAAATGGAAAATTTGTGAAGGGTATATTTATTTTCTTTTGAAAACATTACTTAAGGTGTTATGGTTCTCAGATAAAATAAAGATATTCCTTTTCCTAAAATCATTGTTTTAGTAATTTTTAAAAAATAAAATGCAAGGAAAGGCCAATTTGCCATATGGTTTCTGTTTCTTGTTACTAGTTCATTTATTTGCATATAAGTCCCCAAATGCATGATTTTTATATGCATTTTCAAAAACAATAAATAAATATCTGATCTACTCCAGAATCTATACTTTATATTTAGAATTTAAAAACAAACTGAATAAATCAAAGGGTTATATTCCAACTAAAGATTACAAAAATCTGAGCAAATTCCTTAAATCCCCAAAAAATCCTTAATTCCTTAAAAATCCCAAATTCCTTAAATGATTGGCATCAAAAGTAAAATTTTGTTATTTTGTTTCACATTAGTATCTAAAAAGAATTTAACTAAAATAAACTAAAATATTTTCTATTTAGTTAAGATAGCTTTTCACTTTTAGAAATGTTTTGCAATAGCATTTCTACTTAGAATGTATACTTTCTCATTGTCTTACAAATAAGAACAATGCAGTTTTTTTAAAATTCAATTGAAAGCATTTTATAAATTAGAAAAATACTAAGTGATTAATACCTTCTTAGTAATACTTTTATTTTCATGGAAGTAAAACTTACAGCTAGTGAAATTAGCTCATCTCCCTCTTCATAATTCAGATATTAATACTTTTAATATCAAGAATATAAGCTGTCTTTAAAAACATAACAAGTTTTAAAAGTTTACAGCAGTTTTTTGCCAAGTAAAATATTTACGAATTACAAATACTTCATATTAAGATTTAGAAATTCTCAAAAATTTTCTTGGGGGAGAAAGCAATCTTACTGATTTTTTAACAGTCAAAAATAATAGTTAACTGCTAGATCAAAATTGTTTATATTTGTCTTTCTAATATTTTTATGAATTATAGACTCACATATCAGGCCTAAGCTGACAGTGAACTTCTATAGTTATCAGTTTGCCTTCATCAAAAATATTCCTACTTGGTAAAAATTTGAGCAATGTAATTTGTAGGGATAACATACTCCTCATATAATATGGTCATTCCTTTTAAAATGAGGTTCTCAGAAACATGACAAAATTTTTTGTTTGCTTACAATAAATTATATTATAATTCTTTAAAACATTTGAATCATATCTACTTTTTCTGAAGTATGAGTCAATTGAAAAATTAATTTGTTAATAATCAAAGTTTAGCTCTCAGATTATTTTAGAATTTTCTATTTTTACTTCAATTCTGAAAATACGTGATATTTTAAATATAATTGCTTTTAACCACTTAGTGATTCCGACCAATATGTTGCCATAAACTTTATAAAACTTTTATGCTTACCATTTAAAATATTTAAATCTGTCATCTTGAAAAATTTCTCAGAAATCACAAAATTGTAATAAGAGTCTTAAAAGTTAGATTTGATTGAAATTTAATTTTTGGTTTTGTTTTCTTTTTATAGCTTGTCAATCTAATTTCAGAAAGTAGGGTTTTTATAAACAAATAGTAGCCATTTTATGTCTAATATTTGAAAACATTTTGATAAGATTTTTGTTTGTAGAACTATCCTTTAAATTTTGTGTGTGTCCAAATCTTTTTTTAAAGCAGTATTTTAAATTAATTTGAATTTAACTTTTAAAGCAGTATTAAAAATAATGTTGAATGCATTCTACAGTCTATATTTGAAGAACAAATGAGGTAAATATGCAGCCTAGTGTCGGAGGCTTAAATATTATGCTTCTAATTTGCTAATGGACATATGACAGGCCTTGGCTGTAACAATTTCTGGCATGAATGCATTTCAAATTTTACTGTAAATATTTCATGGACTATTAGTTTACCTGGTTTTTACCTCAAAATTTGCAGCACAGTTTAGTTTTATGTCAATATTTATAAAGTTTTTAAAATATATTTATGATGGATTTTCAAAATATTTTTGAAAGATTATCCATGCTCACCAGATCGATGTGATTACTTCTAAATTTCTGAATCATTGTGATGTCATAGCTTAAATGTTGTTTTATCACCTGTCAGTAAGTACCCTAGTGAGTGCTAGATTCGCAGGTAGTAATTCCTTTATTTAAATGTGTGATGGACAAGAATATAAAATACCACATACACTGAACTGCAAGGTATCACATCCAGTTTACAGAGAGCCTAATGAGCCTCTCTTCTGCTAAATCTTGCTCTATCATCTGTAAAAGAAAGGCACTGAGAAGGTTAGTCTTCAGAAAACATTTTTGGAAGAGAAGGTAGTCCTTACTAATGCAATATTTGTTTATTTCTTATCAAAACAACTTTATTTTTTTGAAAGAAGATTCCCCAAGAGCCTTCCTTTTCTTTCCTTTAAATTATACACATTTGATTGAAGTTGAATGCACAAGAAAAAAAAATAATGTTCGTGAACTTTCTCCCTGACTCAAATCCTGTGGTCTTCAAATTTGCAGCGCTCAGTGCGACTACGGGGGGCATTGATCAGTGAAGGCAAACAGTCCAGATACTCGGGCTCCCCACATCTCTTTTAGCCAAGAAATTTTTTTTTTCCTTTGAATTATCTGAATAATTGCTTCAACTCCAGTTCAATTTGCGTGTCTAGACAGGCAACTAGGCTGAATAAGGCTTGGAAGGACTGTGATTTTTTTCTTTCTTTCTTTCTTTTTTTTTTTTTTTTTTAACACTGCAGTTTGAATTGAGATCACTGTCTTCCACACGTCACGTCTCTGATGTATCTGAGGCCTTCCAGAAATCTTCTGACATTTTAAGCAGTCATGATCCAGAATCTGCATACATGTTTTAAAAACCAACAGAGATTTACTTTTTCTTCTTTTAAAGCTTACCACAGATCTTTTTAATTTGGCATTTCCATCAAGAAAAACCTGAAGTACTGCTTCTTTCTTTCCCCTGGTTTTCATGAACAAATAAGAGTGTCTTACCTCCATTCTACAAAAATGAAAAGTAAGAAAAAAAAATCTTTGTTTTTAAAAACACACTGATAAATTACTACTCAAAGGTAATTCTTTTTAGAAAAGAAAATTGAATGCAGCGATAGTTTAATTTGTTAAACATAAGATTTTTTTCAATTATGATTTACTAGACTGTTTTTAAAAAGTTACTAATCATAAAAAAAAGTTATGAATCATGTTGCAAGACAAAAATACAGGTTTCCTTTTTAAAAAGTAACATTGAGGAATATGATATAGGAACAGAGAGAAAGAAAGAAACAAAAGAAGGAAAGAGAAAGAAATCAAAGGTTTATTCAATGTATTTTCAAACAGCTAATGGCAGATTAGAAAGAGTTAAAAACATGATTGGATCGGGAACTCTGATAAATACTGTCCTATTGCTCCAACATGTACTATTGTTTCCAGGGATACCTCAGAAAGTTCATACAAAATGGAATGAAAAGATAAATTTAATTTGGTACAAAAAAAAATTTAAATCCCTGTATAGGAGGGGTCTTCAAAAACTTCATGAGAATTTATATTATGAAAAAGCTGTTCATGGATTTCTTTGCACCAAAATAAACTCATCTTTTAATTCCGTTTTCCTGTGAACTTTTTGAAGAACCCTTGTAAACTACTGAGGGACGATTTGCGTGATTCCTTCATTTTCAGGTATTTTAAATGAATGAATTTTTATTCCTCCAGATTTAAACCTAGACAATAAATCTTTAACCACAAAATCTAAAAAATCATATACCTCGTTGAATTTTGTTGATCAACAGGACTTAAAATAAAATGCAATATCATTTTTCTTTTTTGTTGTTTTTGCTGGTATTGTTGAGACCCACAAAATGATTGACAGAAAGCGTGCTTTTTATCATCACAAATAGGACCTGTTAGTCAGTCATTCATCTAATTGAGCTAATAAAAAGAAAATGTTTTTTCAAAGAAAATGAGTTGTGATCATAAACTTCATAGATCCGTAGATCCATAACCCCCTACTCAGTGTTAAAAATCCATGTGATTGTCTTTTGAAATGGTATTTCCTAAAGCCATTTGGGCTTGGATGTACTCTTATGATCCATACCAAAAAAATTCAGAAGAGAATTCAATTCCCATGTGAGGTTTCCTTCTCCATGTCCTCTTTTCTCCTCAAAGTCAGACTGAGGGGCCAGGAGGCTGGGCTAGTAAGTCTGCAACATTTATCTTACCCCCCAAAATGTGCAAATTCTATCATTAGTTAACAATACTTTGCTTCGTAAAATTCGTTCACTTTCTTTAGTACCTCCTCTAAGTATTCTGAAAGTAAATCTACGTGTTCTGCCTGATACAATGAAAGTGCGATGCCAGCCTTAGATAATAAAAGCTATGGAAGTCAACTAAGATGAGTAGGGATCAAAAGCCCACAACTCCCTCTCCCCACAAGGAGGCACAGTGCATCCAGCTCTCTTTCTCTCCCTAGGGCAGTTAGTCTCTATTGGCCTCTCAAAGGACGAAGTCCATGCAGCTTTCCAAAACCACTTCACATTGTTTAGGGGCAAACTCTTTCCTATTTTTGGACAAAAGGGGAAATGGTAGAGCTCTCACTATATAACTGGTTCTGTGACTCAACCAAGCCGGTAGCAGCAGGCAGCTTTGGTTTCCAGGACAGAAGCCCTTATAACTCAGCAGATGGAAATCAACTAAAATAACTTTAACGTATGAAGATTATTCTGCGAATTTCCTGGTGTAGCCCCCGGTTCCAGAAAATATTATTTTCAATAAAAATAAATTATTAAACATTCACTAAGTGGGATGCAAGTTTGTAATTCTGATAGATGTTTTTCTATCAACACAGACTCCTGGGAGAAAAAAAAGCCATCCATCAGCTCAAATATCCTCATTTCTAGTTGGGGAGTTATTATGATTAAGTTTAAATATCTCTTTACAAAGAATGAAAACATGAACTCCAAATCTCAGCCTGCAGGCTCCCAAAGGGTCTAATACCTGATAGCCAGGGCATGAGTTTGTGTTTTCATATTGAGACATTCTAGGTGACCTCAGTGCCTTTACTCTTCATCTGCTTAGTATTTACGTGCATATCTGTCCAAATAACCCTAAAATAACCAATCAGCTTAATCAGGTTCCTCAGTACTAGGAGAATGAGAAACAAAGCAACTCTGTAGTTTGACGCTTTCAGGAGGCTTATTTGCCCGAGAAACTCCATGGCGTATGGAGTCATGGCCTCCCTACCAATGACTGAAGCCTTCTTGCTGACTCCCTGATTGCAGCCAAGGGAAGGGAAGGGATGTCCGAAAGCGTCGCATCTCAAAGTGTCGTGATATTGAATCCCTTAAACAAAATTTAAAAGAATTAGCAATAAAATCCATCAATTAACAACAACAACAAGAGAGGGAGAGAGAGAAGAAGAAGAAGAAGAAGAAGAAGAAGAAGAAGAGGAAGAAGAGGAGGAAGAGGAAGAAGAGGAAGAAGGAGGAGGAGGAGGAGGAGGAAGAAAGGGAAGGACCTCGGCCTTCTCTTCCACCTGGTTCACCACTTGCTAACAGTTCTGAATGGAGAAGAGCGGCCCACAGAGCATACACAGTGCACTGACTTTGGAATATACAGAACCAACAGAGGAGAATACAGGTGTTGGCTTTGTGACCCACACCTTTAGGTCTTACGCATTTCTGAGAACTAGTATTTAACAGTCAGACAAATGTTTTGGAAAATCCAGGTTGTTGCTTTTTTCTTTTGTTTGTTTTTAAACTATAAATCTGCAAAGCATTTTGATCACTGTTTCTAAATTTACTATTTGTAGAGATCCATTCAAACTTCTACCTGAAAAAAATAACCTGGTACTGGCCGGTGCCGCGGCTCACTAGGCTAATCCTCCGCCTTGCGGCGCCGGCATACCGGGTTCTAGTCCTGGTTGGGGCGCCAGATTCTGTCCCAGTTGCCCCTCTTCCAGGCCAGCTCTCTGCTGTGGCCAGGGAGTGCAGTGGAGGATGGCCCAAGTGCTTGGGCCCTGCACCCCATGGGAGACCAGGAGAAGCACCTGGCTCCTGCCATCGGATCAGCGTGGTGCGCCGGCCGCAGTGTGCCAGCCGTGGCAGCCAATGGAGGGTGAACCAACGGCAAAAGGAAGACCTTTCTCTCTGTCTCTCTCTCTCACTGTCCACTCTGCCTGTCAAAAAATAAAAAAAAAATTCAAAAAAACCCTGGTACTGTGTATTGTATTTATTACATTGGTGACTGAAGGAACATGATGTCTCTGTTTCTCAGACACTGATCTTCTTAAGCTCCACAAGTTAAGCAAATAACATTTTTTTTTTTGGATTATCAGTAACCCACAGTATTGCTTCTGGGGTGCTAGGGCTAAACTTCTGTGCAAATATCTTCATAACTTAGTCAAATAAGCAAACCAGGGCAGCTCAGCTCAGAGGTAACAAATGGACCACAGTCCCTTCTTTTTGTCTTTGAGGCTGTCCAGCCTGCTATAGACTTGACACAACTTAGAGCAGAATGGTCATCCATCCCGCCTGATTTATGTAGCAGATCATAGTTACTATTTTAATGGGATCCTGCCAAGAAAACAAACATTCCAGGTTGGTTTACATGGAACAAATTAGCTCTGGTTTATAGGCATTCAGTGACAGTGGTATGCAACTTCTTAGTTTTTCCTTTCTTAAGTCATCTCATTTTAGCAATTTTAACACCCAACAAGGGTATACGAATTTTTTTACAAACACTATCTCTTTGAATTCTTACAGTGTCAACAAAGATCCATGATTAGCCCCATTTCGGAGTGGTTAAGAGTTCTGACTGCAATAAGACTGATGAGAATTGGAATCTCGGTCCTTTGATTTTCTATTCATATAACCCCGAGGAAGCCTCCTAGCCTTTCTGAGCCTCAGTTTCCTTATCTGTAACATGGGCATGATTAAGTGTATGCCCTGGGATCAGTGTGCAATTTCCATGAATAAAAAGGCTGAATACAATGGATGGTATGTGGTAAGTGCTCCATAGATGTTGGTATTTAAAGAGAAGGTAAATGAAGCCTGCAGATATCGAGAGTCCTGTTCTTGATACAGCAAGGTTCAGGACCCAAGCTTGCTGACTTCAAAGCCAGTGATAAAACCCTCTAACTTTGTTTGCTATGCAGCTGCTTTAAAGTGTGACTCAGCATTGTTTCTAACTGCCTCCACACTGATCAAACACAAAAGCACTTTTCCCTTTTAACCAGTAGACTTCAAAACCTTCCATGGAGGCCTTCATGAAAGTCAGTGGACAACTGGGCCATATCCTGCTACAGGAAAATGCAGCAATGCTAAAAAGGCCAATAAAGGCGAATCACTGAGAGCAAATAGTCTACAGAGAAAGTCTCAGTAGTAGTAGTTCACTGCTCCAGCAAGAGGCTGTTCCAAGAAGCAAGTTATTAAGTGGAATTGAGAGAAGCCTCAGGTCTTTTTTTTAAATTTTTTTTATTTGACAGATAGAGTTAGACAGTGAGAGAGAGAGACAGAGAGAAAGGTCTTCCTTTGCCGTTGGTTCACCCCCCAAATGGCCGCTACGCCGATCCAAAGCCAGGAGCCAGGTGTTTCCTCCTGGTCTCCCATGGGGTGCAGGGCCCAAGCACTTGGGCCATCCTCCACTGCCTTCCTGGGCCACAGCAGAGAGCTGGACTAGAAGAGGAGCAACCGGGACTAGAACCTGGAGCCCATGTGGGATGCCGGCGCCGCAGGTGGAGGATTAACCAAGTGAGCCATGGCGCTGGCCCCAAGGTCTTTCCATCGACATATTTTAGTCTGTCTTTCTAGATGGATGTTCGTGGTACACACGATCCAGCTATTCTGTGAGCTAAAAAGGAAAAGTGCATTGGCTTGAATGTATGTAAGTATCCAGGAACTTCCAAAACATGGATATCAGTTGCCTTCGATCATCACACATATGTTCTCTTCCATCTGTCGAGAAAGTTTACAAATGACACTCATTTTGGTACAATGGTTCTTTGAGTGTTCTAATGAGGTTCTCTTCCTTGAGTTCTGAGGTTGTTCTCAAAAACAAACCCCAGTTATCTCTGCACATCTTTGCTCCCTATGGGCCTTCTGAGTCACTCCAGTTTAATTTATTTACCCTTTGGCTGCCTTCAATGCACGTTTGAGCCCTACTGACGTTCATGTGGAGTATGTCACAATCAAAGGCAATAAAACTCTGGTCCTCTATTTTTAACCTTGGAGCTCATACCATTGCAGCTTAGACGTTGTTTTCTAGGCCCTTGAGCCCTACCTAAACCATGAAGTTTCTGGTTGACGTCTAGTCCTGGAATACTCAGAAACTGACGGTAATGTTTCATAATTTCTAGTTCAGCATCTGATGACATGAATCTTTCCAAGTAGTTTGCTGGGGGGAGGAACACCTGCTTAGTTTTTGGAAGAATAAAAAGGGGAAAAGAGATGGGGCATCCATGAGGAAATAGAGCCCATATTTAACCTACCATTCAGTAGGCTATTTCTTGAGTTGGCTATTACTACTTGGGATGACTCCCAAAATAACCCCCAAATACTTAACCAAAAATTTACACTGCCTTGTGGCTCAGTCTCTTTGTATGGTAAAATGCTAGTTGGACTACATCTTTAATATACAAAATGTGAAAGAATATTTCTTGATTTTATAAATTGTCAAGCACCATCTGAAATTCTTCATGAAGTAAACAAACAAATGCATGAAAACCAGTGGAGTTTGGGATTCTTCTTCAACCAGTGCGAAGAAAATAAAAACTTCTAACCCAAGATCTCTGGAGACACATATTTTTTCATGTGGAAAAAATAATGAACATAAATAAATACAATCAAAGCTACCCTGGTGTTATTAGTCTTAGAGGAAAGTTCCCTGGAACTTATGCATCTCTTTAAATTCTTTCTTCAGCAGGAGACTCCTTCCAAAAAGAAAAGAAAAATAACAATTATAAAGAATAATTGCAGAACTGTAGTCGACAAGAGAGAAAAGACACTAATGTTTTTGCTGTTCTAAAATGGGCCCAGGTAGATCTGTCTACATCAGGTCTTTCTAGTAGTTAAGATATGATAATTCAAAATACAAACTGCACCTGTTTTATTTCATAAGCTGTAAGGTCTAATGCAGGTTCCTTGGACATTCCAAATAAAATACGACTGCCATAATGCATGGCTCAATCCATGTAAAAAGATACTTAGGGAGATGAATCACTAATCACGAACCTTGCAGACAGTGGAGAGAACAGACAATAGCACCTCCTGTCTGTGAGGACACGTGATTTGATGACCTGGGATGGTTTCTCAGGAACGGGCACTCGAGGGTCCACACTCACTGTGAGGGCTGGGTCCTGGCGATTTTGACCCTGTTCATTGCGATCTTCCTGCTGTGTGCTGGTGACTCAGGGGCTTGGTTTTGGCACACACAGGCTCCCTCCTTTGAATTTCAAAGGCAGTTTAGTTCGACAGGCACTGAATTGAGTAGTTCATGACTCAGGGAACAACTGCTTGGTGGCCAAAGAGAAATGATCATGCCATAATAATAGCCCACAATCTGCCGTCTCCTTCCTTCTTGAGATCTTAGACTACAGGAAGAACTCCCCCCCCGCCCCCAAAGGGAGAGCTCAGTGCTCAGGGAAAGAAGTAAGAGCAAAAATCCCATAAAGACCCAGGCCTTCTAGTTGGGATCCCCATCTACCCTCCCAATCTCATCATCCCAAAGTCAGAAGCAGAATGAGGTTGCACATCTCCTGGTGTGAATTACTAATGATTTAGGGAAGTGATTTTTAGCCCAAGTACTTCTTCCATCTCGGAAAAGATGGTTTATCACCGTCGTCATCTGGTCCCTCAGGCAGTTCAGATTAAGAAGGTAGGCGCTCAAAATCCCTGAGTCACTCATCAGCTTTCACCCATACTGGAAGCTCAGTTGACCATCAAAACAGGGTGCTGGGGACTGGTATCAGTGGGATGGCATCTACTAAAGAGCCCAGGGTGAAAAACATGTGGGATGTCCATGTTCTCAATTGTGGAGCATCTCTCATCAGCACCTAGTCCCAGGGATGTTTTTATAGCTCAGCGAAACTTAGCATGGATTTGTTTTTTTAGTTTGGACACAGGGAAGTGGTGCAGGGGCAGCAACAAGATCCCTCTCTGCTATGAAAGTAGTATAAAGGTTTCAAGTGTACATTTTAAGAGGTAGATCTCTTTGGATCAAATCCCTACTCCTACCTATTAAACATCAACTTTGGTCAAGTTATGCTGTCTCTCTATATCTCAGTTTTCTAATCTGTAAAATGGACAGAAAACAGGTACCTACCCTTCACAAAGGGTAATTCAAGTAAAAATGCAGAGAACATTTAGAACAATGCCTGGCACACTAAATGCATGCAAATTTTTAGTTAATATTACAAGAGTATAAAAAATGTTAAAAGTTTTTAAAGTGATTTTTATGGTGAAAGTTATTTTTAAAAATAATGGCTCTGGCCCTTTCAGTGAGTCTTTCTTACTTTCATATTTGCCTCCTCTCTTTCCTGGACCCCTTCGCCATACTCCTTACTTTCTCACACACAAATATACAAAAGCATGTAGTCATACTTACAAGAAAAGCATTATATCAGAGTTTGTAAGCAACACCTCAATTACATGCATCACATTGGTGGTCCTCCTTGTCTATACAACATATATAACTTCACACACCTTTTCAAAGATAACATGCTTCTCAGCGATAAAAGCTATGGCCATCCGAGATGAAGGGGTGTGAACTATTGAAAATAAATTATTTAGTTATAATACAGACTTCTAACTTTTAGCCATGATGGAGTAATTAGGACCAGGCTGGTCCTCTTGTTATAAACCAATATAAAACCTATGCCAGTACATGGTATGCTTAGTTCAAATAACAATGAGATCCCTGAGAAAAGGAAAAAAAAAACATGCTATCAGTTCCAGATTCATTTTAAGGCTTCTACTCACAAGCAGCTACTAGACTGTTGTACAAGAATGAGCAACTGACACAGAGGACAAGGATCTCACTGAGGTAGATACTAGAGCTTAAGATCTCTGGGAATTGTGCAGTGGGTACCAAAGACAAAGAACCATACAGAAAGAGAGAGCTCCAGAAACATTCATAAATGTCTCCTTAAATCTTTAACTAACCATTAAATTGTGTATGCACAGCAAAGGACTCTGTGAGCCCTGGAAGACAATGTTTACTGAGAAACTGTAAGCTGAACAGAGATTCCAGAGATTGCATAATATTGAGACACACTGGTGATTCAAGCAGCCACAATAGAGAGACCAGCATTTAACTGAGAGCTCAGAAAGGCACGATCTTAAGAGTAATAAGAGTTACTCTACAACATCTCTCAAAAACTTTAAAAGCATACTCAATTGGATCAAGTGAATTTGTGAGTAAATTAACCACTCCATAGAATAAAATCAAACATTCTTCAAAGGAAGACAAGTAAATACAATCTTGCAACAATGTAGAAGCCAGTATACAATGAAAAAAAAGTCAATGCTATGCAAACAAATAAAAAAAAATAACCAAGGGGGAAAACATAGTCAAAAGAGATTCAGAGATAAGTCAAGAACTGAAAGCAAAAATAAGCAAGATAGGTGAACCAATGAGAAATTTGAGAACACAAATAGAAACTATAAAAATGACCAAATGTACATTCTAAAAGTAAAAATATGATATAAAAATTATTTTTATAAAACTTTATACTAAATGGGCTTTAAATGTTTATTTGTTTTATTTATTTGAAGGGGAGAGAGAGAGAGAGAGACATCTTCCATCTGCTGGTTCACTCCCTGAATGCTGCAGTAGCTGGGGCTGGGTCAAGTGGAAGCCAGGAGACAAGATCTCCATCTGAATCTCTCATATGGGTGGCAAGGGCTTGGACCATCATGCACTGCCTTCCCAGGCAAATTGGCAGGAAGCTGCATCAGAATCAGAGGAGCCAGGACTTGAACTAGCACTCTGATAGGGATGGGAGCATCCCAAGGGGCAGCCTAACCTGTTGTACCATAACAACTGCTCATGAATGGTCTTAATAGAAGCCCAGACACTGCAGAATATATCTAAGAACTTCAAAAACAGAGAGTGAAACTGAAATAATGAACATACCTCAGGGAACTGAGGGACAATTAGAAAATGATCTAATATAGGTGCAATTGGAATTCAAGGAGAGAAAGAGAAATTGACTCAAAACAAGTATTTGAAGATCTCATAGCCATTTCCCTTCAACATTTGATGAAAAATATTGACACACAGATATAAGAAACTCAACAAATTGCAGGAAGCAAAAACAATCAAAACCATGCCTAGGCACATTTTAGTCACATTGCTGGCATCCAAAGACAATTAGAAAAAGCTTAAAATAGCCAAGTATATACAGAGGAACAAGACCAAAAACAAAAACAAAAACATCGATGACTTCTCATCAGAAACAATGAAAGTCAGAAGACAATGGAACAACATTGTTAGAGAGCTAAAAAGGAAAAAAAAAAAAAAAGATAGACTTGTCAATCAAGAATCCTATATCTAGTAAAAATAAACTTCATAGAATTAAGAAAAAAAAAGCCTTTTTCTAAGTAAACACAGACTTAGATAATCCATCACCAAAAGACTTACACTACAAGAAATGCTACAGGAAGTCCTTTGCTAAAGGAAAACCACACACACAAAGAGCATCTTATAAATACATGGATTTCCTTAAAGGTAACTGTGCCAAAATGTGGCTTAGAGTGGTATGCCAAAGTAACATAGACCAGAATATCACACTGTAAAATTCTTATAAGTGAAACGTAATCACATTAACTCATGGAAGGTTATTATAAGAATGCAAATAATTCTTAGGCTAACCAGGAAAAATAAAAATCAAATAGAAACAACCTTTTAATTGGTCTCCATGTTTACCTTTTTGCTTCTTTAACACATCCTCCATCAGAAGCCAGAGAGATATTTTTAAGCATAAGTCAGAGTATGTTATGTATTTGCTTAAAACCCTCCAATGGCTTTCTTATGGACCTTGTAATTAAACTCAAATTCCAAACTAGAGCTAATAAGACACTAAACAAGTTGGCTTCTGACTACTTTTCTGACCTCACTTCTCTGCAGCAACTCTGGCCTGCCGTCCCTCGATATGTCAGCTCCAGTTCTGCTCTGTGGTCTTATTGCTCACTAGAACAACTGCTTGCTAGATCTGGACTTGGCTGATACTTCTTCATCCAGTCCCAGAGCACATGTTACCTCCTCAGAGCCATCCCCTGACTGCCTTACCTAAAGAAACAACATATCATGTCCTACACCATAATTCTCTTTCACTTTAGCCATTTTCTTTTTTTAAACAAATGTTTATTTATTTATTTACTTTTTGGAAAGGCAGAGAGCTACATAAACACACACACACACACAGAGAGAGAGAGAGAGAGAGAGAGAGAGAGAGAGAGACTGAGAGAGATCTTCCATCTGTGGGTTCATGCTCCAAATACCTGCAATGTGCAGAGCTGGGCCAGGACAAAGCTAGGATCCAGGAACCACATTCTGGTCTCCCATAGGTGTGGCTGGAGCTCAAGCACTTGAGCCTTCTGCTGATTCCTTCCCAGGAATGATAGGAGGAAGCTGGATTGCAAGTGGAGCAGCAGGGACTCAAACCTTGGATATATGGGATGTGGTGTCTTAACCAGCTGTATCACAATGTCAGCCCCCTTTTTTATTTTAAATCTTTATTTGTAACTGCTTTCTCCAATAATTAGACATCTAGTTTTTGTTGTCTACAGCATATATATTTATTTGTTCATTTTTAGTACTCATATAAATTAGTTTCAAAATGTTTTACCAATATCCCTATGAGTAACACAGTTACTATGTAGATAGCTGCATTTGTGCAGTTCTTTTTGTGGTACCCTTACAGCATCCAGTCAAATTATTGTTTTCCAAAGTTATTTAGATTAGACATTTCTCTCTCTGCCTTCAATGTGGTTACAGTATTCATTTTTGTTACAGGTGTTTTCATTTGTGGTGTTTGCATGCCGTATTGGGTTTCTCCAACATTCTGGTTGGTTTTAACTGTTCATTTTTTTTTAACGGTAACACATCCTTCTTTTTGTTCTTTTTAAGTTTTATTACTTGTATTTAATTGTTCATAAAATGTTACTGATTTGTTAAAGATATTGCTTGGTTATTGGTCTTATTCTTCCCACTTTAGTCCTTTTTGCTTTCCTCACCCCCCATTGCAATCTGCAATTTTCATACTTATGCATTTTCAGCCACCTTCACTAGACATCACCTTTCTAGCCTCTGCTTTTTTTCCTTTTGTCTGGAGCAGTGCTTGGCAGATACTAGGTGCTCAATATATCTTTGTAGGATGAGACAGTGAGCCAATGAGCCCCATCTTACCAGACTATATATGTTGCTTGAATTGCCAACATATATTACCAACAAATGTTAACAGTTGAGTGTGCCTCTGGATCAGCTTTGACCAAATCTAGACTTTTCCTCTTAAAACAAAGAATGCAATTGTACTTTGTGCATTTATTAAACATCACTTAAGTACCTGCTCCATGGATGCAAAGAATGAGAAAAGAGTCCTACTCAATAGGGCTCACAATGAAGGAGACAGGCTTACAATAATCATAGTAGCTTCAATTACCATTTAATATGATAATAAAATATAACAATTATAATTACTATTAGAAGAAAAACACAATAATACCTAAAGTTTTATGAATACTTTACAGCTTTCAAAGTGCTATCCTAGGAACTGTATAATTTGGTACCGAGGGAGTGACCATGTTTGTTGTTATAATTTTCAGTCAGAAAGAAAAAAAAAAGAAAGAAGAAAGGAATATCTTGATACAGCAAAAGGAACACACAGTTCAGAAGTTCTTGGAATATCTACCCTCATTACTTTAAGAAATGATAATAATGGGAATAACAGAAAACGGTATTTGTTAAACACGTACTATGAGCCCAAGCAGGACGAGGGCATTTCATGTAGCTTACTCAGAGTCAGTACATCATGATGCCCCAGTGGAGTGACCTTGGGAAAACAACCAAACCTTTCCAAGCCTCAGGTTTTTGTTTTTTTTTAAATTTTTTAATTTTTTTGACAGGCAGAGTGGACAGTGAGAGAGAAAGATGGAGAGAAAGGTCTTCCTTTGCTATTGGTTCACCCTCCAATGGCTGCCACGGCTGGCGCACTGCGGCCGGCGCACTGCACTGATACGATGGCAGGAGCCAGGTGCTTCTCCTGGTCTCCCATGGGGTGCAGGGCCCAAGGACTTGGGCCATCCTCCACTGCACTCCCGGGCCTTAGCAGAGAGCTGGCCTGGAAGAGGGGCAACCGGGACAGAATCCGGCGCCCCGACCGGGACTAGAACCCAGTGTGCCGGTGCCGCTAGGCGGAGGATTAGCCTAGTGAGCCGCCGCACTGGCTATTACTGTGTTTTAATAATCATCCCAAACCAGATACATTGGAGGAGTCCGCTGGCAATCACAGTGGGTGGTGGCTCCAGCCCAGCTCCCCCTTGCTCCTGCCCAGAGACATTCTAGATGCTGGGGACGTCTATATCCTTGCTGGGCTAGAACCATCCACAGTTGTGAAGGATTCAAGAAAAACAAAACAAAGCAACTAAAGACTGTGTCAAACATAAATTACATACAGTGAATTCTTAATTGTATTCTTTACCCACTTAATGAGCAAATGAATGTGAATGAGCTGCCACAAAACTGGTCCAAAGTGAGAGCTTGCCTACC